GGTTGACAGCAATGCAAAGTGCTTGACATCTCAGCCATCAAAGCTGTGGTGGGCTGCGTACAGGATAACCAAGGTCACTGGTGTATCATAGATTGCAAGCCACCTTTTGCAGAAACAGAGTAAGGCCTTCAAGCTCAATCGCATGGGGAAGCAGGTAGGATGAGGGGTGAGGGGTGGGGGAAATGGGGCAGGGATGCATTGAGGGATGGGATAGTATTACATATCATATGGATCAGTCCACAGGGCAATGCAGAGAATGATACATATATATTGGCTGGTTACATTACTTGTGGGGGAGAATATCACAATCCTCAAGCTCTTGCTCTTTCTCCAGACAGTTTGCTTGCCTTCTGGCCTTTTGCTTGGCTGACCACTGCGTCAATGAGATAGTCTGCTTCGGCAGCACCACTGCAGCTGTGACACCTGAGAGAGATAACTGCGCAGCCACCATCTCTGTGCCACAGGGGGGCTGTTGGATGTCCTCAGAGATGGGCAGAATGCTTCTTTCCCCACCACTGTCCACAAAAGATTGGGGAATGCTCTCCTTCAGTGGAGGAGGTGAGCAGGAGCTGGATCCTAATGGCATCAATGCTTGAACCTCTGGATGCAAGGCATGTTCCTTATTGGCAGCTTTAACAGGCTGGGGGGGGGGGCGACAGGATGCTGGAGGAGGAGGGAGGGGCAGCAGTGCACATATTAGTCTCTCTCTTGCACATGTGTGAGGCATGGGGGGTGGGGGAAGAGCAGGTTCTCCATGCACATGGCCGAGAACATGATTGTGGAAGGGCTGAGCTATGTTCTTGGTCCAGGAGGAATCGGCAAGCAGGTTTGGCACCTTCTCAGGAGTGGCAGGCACTGGTCTTGCCACCATAGACTCCAACATTGTCCCACCACCCAGCTTGATGGGAATGGACAAAGTGGCAGCTCCGGGGTAGTACCCAGGATAGTGCCACCATTCTGCAGCATCTTGCTTGTTGGCATCTGCTCCAGATGACTGCAGGGTGGGAAAGGCCTGGCTAGGTCCCACAGCACCAAATTGATCTCAAAGGCTGCAACATACCCAACTGGCACCATCCCAGTCAATGATGTTGCCTGGAGCAGTGACAGAGTTGCTAGTAGAGGCAGTCAACAGGTCCACAGACATAGCTGTCTCCTCTTTGCACTTCTTAGCATGTTTGTGTTGACACTTGCTGGGTCGGTTCACATTCTTCAAGTGTTTGAGATCAAGTGCATTGCAACAACAGATCTGGCCTTCATGTACAGCATACTGTGCTTGTGTGTGGGGAGAGGACACTCACTTCAGGATCTGCAGTTGTTGCTTGACCCAGGCATCTGTCAAACACTCATCAGCAGTGTCAACGGTATGAAAGCAGAGCATTGGCATGCCATCATGCAACAGTGTCTTGCGATGTGCTTCAGGAACAGTGTCATACAGAACGCTGACAAAATTATGTGTCCAGGGCCAATTGAGGGGAGTGAAGGCATAATTCTTTATGTACTGTGATGACACAAAGTTTGCAATGCCAGGAAGGTCATGCACTTTGCACTGGGCAATGAGCCAAATTCTCTCAGCTTGTTCAAAAGACATTGGCATCTGGAAGAGTTGCCAATTGATGGCACAGCACCAACTACCCACAAACTCTTTGTAGAGTTCCTTGACTTCATGGTTTGGTACAGCAGCAAGGTTCTCCAAAAGATGGCACTGCAAGTATGTATGCATGGCCTTGAGATGTTCAACCCATTGTGGATGAACAATTCCAGATTCATGTGTCTTCAAAGGCATGGTTGAAAAAGCTTTGCAGACCAGGATCACCCAATGAACTTTTGCACTGAGGGGATCTGCAGGTGGACCTTCACAATAAGGGCAGTGGGGATGTTTGGAGTCCCATGCCATGGCATAAACTGTCCAGTCCTCCATGGAATGTGTCCACAAATTGTGTTCATGCTGGTTGACATCCCAGCACAGGTCACAGGGTTCAATGCCTTTCCCCTCCAGAAGGTGTTCAGCATACCACCTTTCCATGTCTTTTTGTTGTTGAGGAGTGAGGACTGGGATGTCAAATTTTGGGAGGGAGAGCTGTTTGACTGACAATAGGGAAAGTCGAAATCCATCTTGATGGCCACTGATGAGGGTCAATTCCAAGCTGACAGGTGTCTTGTGTGGGGCCACTAGGAGCTCATTGACTGTTTTGGTGGAAGGGGGATATGGTGGAACTGAGAATGATCAGGATATATACTGTGCATGCAGCATAATGTTACTCACTGAGGTTCTTGTCTGTACCCATTGCTCCCAACAGGGTGTGCATCACAGAGTTATCATCAATATCTATCATATTGTGATGTCAGTAAGATGAGAATGTATATGCCAAAGGCAAACTCACCATCATCTTGTGACTCCTCAACTCTCGACAATGTCTTTGAATCTTCTGCATGAGTAGGTGCATTGTGGAAGCCCTTTGCTGTAGTTGCAAATACCACAGCAGAGAACAACAAGTGCTTGGATGCAGCTTGAGGGTGTTGAGGATATCAAAGGGATGGATAAAGAGTAGTTGGGAGGAGATGATGAAGAGAGGAGAGGAGAGGACAATGATGATGAGGAGGAGGTGGTGGTGGTGAGAAAATGGCAACTCACAGGCCACAGGAGCAAAGCTCATGAGGGTGCACAGGAGCAAAAATCACATGTACACAGAAGCAAAAGATGACATAGCTTTTTGGTCCTAAAAGCTGCATCTATTGCTCCCATGCACATGATAATTTGCTCCTGCACTCACATGACCTTTGCTCCCATGGCCTGTGAGTTGCCATTTTCTCACCACCACCTCCTTGCCACCACCACCTCATCCTTGCCACCACCACCACCACCACCACCTTGTTGTCATCATCCTCTCTCTCCTCTTCTCTCCTCTCCTCTCCTCAATGTCTCCTCCCTTCATGACATCAATGCTGTTTTGCTTCCCCTCCCCTCCCCCTTTCCCCCCCTCCCAGAGTGTGTACCTTTCACAAGGGACAGCTCTTGCGCCAGACACACATGGAGTACCAGGTGTCTTGGCTTCAAGGTTTTTGACTAGCATGCAAGACAATGCTCTTCCTTACCCTCCTCCCTGAACCAAGTCCTCCACAACCACTACTCAGGCACTCCAAGTAGCCATATGTGCATGAAGAAAATGAGTGTCATACCCCTCTCAAGTGAACTACCAATTATGGTGTTCACTCACCATGCTCCCCCTCCCTCTCTACAAGAACCTATGATACCTTTCCTCAACTATGTCTACCATTGATAATGCAGACTGGTTTGTCATCCCAGAGAGCCTCAACTATCTGCTCACCCAGCTCAACATTGACCTAATCCCATGACTGGACCTGACTAAGCCTTTGCTTGACACAACCTTCAAGAAGTGTCACCCACCATCATATGCCAGAAGACAAAGGCAGGAGGACTTCAACAATGCATTGGAGGATTGTATCCTAACTGTGTATGAACAATGGGAGGTCCTTCTCTGTTGGCAGATGTACTGCAGGGAGTTCATCTTCCAGAAAGGTGGGCATACATCTACCTTCTGACCATAAACACTACTAACCTCTTTGCAGGCATAACCTATCTCAAATCCTGCATGGTGCCTGAGAGACAAGCATCTGCACTGTCCATGATGTACAATGCCTTCCAGTGCCATGTGGAAGCCAAGTCTGCCCTGCCTGACCTGCTAGTGGTGTTCCCTATTCTGAAACAGATGGCAGCTGAACAACAAGTATGCTGGCTGTCATCTCCATGGGCAGTAGCTGTTCCCAAATGGGAAGGCATGCTGGGCATGGCGCTTTGGTGACAAAAAGTCCTTAACAATGACTGGGACAACAGACCCAGTGCACCTGCCCCCTCCGCCTCTCCCAAATGTGAACTTGAGCCATTTACCTGGCCATTGTTTTCCCCATCCTCTCCCATGAAGAACTACTGAACATCTGAGTTCAGCACAAATTGTGTTCCAGATAAAGGTTGGTGGCCTCATGGGCAACTATGGGAGATAGCCTACCCATTGCCAGATGGATTCAACTACCCCCCCTTGTTTGACTTCACAATTTCATAAGCTCTGTGATGCAGAAGAATATGCACCCAGTGGATTGCCATCACTGGTCTCCACAACAATCAAACTGGTCGAGATATTCACCTCCAAACCAGTATCAGAGGGAGAGATCACCAGCTCCTCGCAGATGTAGAGATCATGCTTAGTACTCCAGGTCACCTTCTCCCTACAGCCATCAAAGGCAATACCATAGCCAGAGCTGCTCAGCCTTGCTGTCACCCCACAGCTGTCACAGGCATGACCATACCCGAAGTCATTCGGCTTTGCCCTCACAAAGGTGTTGCTATGTCTGCTACCCCTCTCCTGCTCATGACATCACAATGGAAGCATGATCGCCCTCCCTTCACCATGTTGTATCCAAGTCCATAGCTGCAGTGCCTCTTGATCATGCTCGTTCTGATGCTGACAGGAAGAGCATGATATTGCAACATGAAGACCTCAGCAGAGAGATGGATGAGCCCATGGAGGTGGTGTCGGAGATGGAGGAGATGAAGGCAGAGCTGGAACAGGTGATGCAGGAGCTGGAGGAAGTGCAACAGAGGCAGAAGGAGCAGCAGCAGCAGTGACTGTGGGAGTGGGATAGCTGGCAGGTCTGGCAACAGCTGCAGCAGGAGCAGGAACAGGAATGGCAGGAGAAGGAGTTGTGGGAGGAGGAGGATGTCTTCCTGGAGCAAGAGGACTCCCTGGAGCAGGACACCATCATGGATGTTGAGATGGCTGTGTTAGG